ACTAGCCCAGTCTTTACTAGTTGATGTTGAAGCAGTGCTGTTGTAGTTATTTGTAGTATTTGAAGCCTCATTTAGTTGAGGTTTGGTATTTTGCTCTAAATTTTCGCTCTTCTTAATATTGCTCTCTTCTGTTTCGAGGAGATTAAAAACTTTGTTGTTGCTATTGTCCAGCCTAGCTTTCTTATATTGTGACTTGCTTATATTTAAAAACTGTTGTTTGCATTTTTTGGAAGTCAGGGCCTTAACCCTGTTTAGTTTTTGAAAAAGAATGAAGTTTTTTTGTGTAGAAATTTTGTTTTATCGATATTTCTGAAGGTAAACCAGAAAGAGTTATTGGATCTCTCCACTAGATTGTTTTTCAAAAAAATTTATTTTTAACCATGGCTAGAACAAAAAGGACCCGACAAACAACTCAACCTTCTCAATTGGCAGCTTCTGCCACTCCTTTGAATCAACCATCCACAACTCCTTTGACCCAACCATCCACAACTACTTCCACAACTTCTTCGACTCAAGTACCCACAACAACTTCTTCAACCCAACCATCCACTACACCTTCAACCCAACCATCTATTACTTTACCATCTATCACTTTTTTGACCCAACCATCTATCACTTTTTCAACCCAACCATCCACCACTTTGACCTAACCATCTACTACTTCAACCCAACAATCCACCACTTCGACCAGACAAACCACCCCTTCAACCAAACAATTCACCACTTCGACCAGACAATCCACCACTTTGACCAACCCTTCAACCAGACAAACCACCACTTCGATCAAACAAACCACCACTTTGACCAGACAATCCACCACTTCGACCACCCCTTTGACCAGACAAACCACTACTTCGACCACCCCTTCGACCAGACAAACCACCACTTTGCCCAGACAATCAAGTACTTTGACCACCCCTTTGACCCAACCATCCATTACTTCGACAACCCCTTTGACCCAACCATCTACTACTCTGATCCAGCCCACAGTAGTTATTTCTCTACAAAGAACCACCTCTCCTCATTCGTCTCATTTGCCTTATTCATCACTGAGAACCATAAGAAGCAGAAGCCAAAGTGGAAGTGATAAACGATTAGAAACTCTTGCTAATTTTGATTTAGCAGAAAACAATCGAAGACTGAAGAATGGTAAATTTTTTCAAGTGTTTGAATATGCTGATTCATAACTGATTTTTTGTTTTATTTACTAATTTT